CTCTCTCTCTCTCTCTCTCTCTCTCTCTCTCTCTCTCACACACACACACACACACACAGCCCTTCTTGATGATTTCCTCATTCTATTAAAAGAAAAACTTACAACTGTATGTGTAGGTCTGTACGTAAGAGTGCAGTGCCCTCAGAGACCAGAAGGCATCAGGCCTCCTGGAGTTCGCAGGTGGTTATGAACTGCCTAGGGTGGCTGCTGAGAACCTAACTTCTGTCCTCAGGAAGGTGGTATGCAGTAGGTTGCTCTTAACCACTCAGCCAAGTCACCAGCCAGATTGTATCATTTTTGTCCCATCTGTACTTGACTACAGTTTTCTCGGGATTTTATTGTTCTCTTGCTTGGAGAAGTAATCTTTCCTTCCTCTACCCACAACCTAGCTGTAGGAAATTTGAATCTTTAAGGAAGCACTGCATCCTGGAGTACAGTACTCAGCAGCTGGGTCTTATTTGAAAGAACTTGGAGTGTGTCTCACCCTCAGACCAGCACCTGTAGGGCAGAGCTGAGACCAGACTCTCATCATCGGATTTGGGGCTACTGAGTTGTAGAAAGGTAAACTCTGCAGAGTTTGTGATATGTTCCTTGTTGGTTATTGTGCGAACAGCCATATAAAGGAACAGGCGGTGTGCAGTAGGTGAAGGCCAAAGACGACAGAGCCTAGCACATGGTGAGCGCTGGGTGGCCCTCCTTTGTAACGACGACCAGTTTCAAAATGTTTTGACTTTTAATAAAAACAACTCCAAAAACATTGAAGCTTTGCTGAAGTTGTTTAGGTTAGCAAGCAATACAGGATTCGAACTAACTAGCTCTTACATAGTAAGTTACCCCATATTTATGCTCTGCCACAGGGTGGTACCTCCATTGCATGGCACTTCATCTCCTGCTCCCTCGGCATCTGGCTGGTGATTCCTGACTCTGCCCTTCTTCATCCCATCATTGTTAGTTTGGTCACCCCCCCCCATACTTCCTGCCTGGCTACTGACCAATTGGCTGTCTATTATACCAATTTGAGTGACATCTTTACAGTATACAAGAGGATTATTCCACATCGGTCTTCTCTTCCATACCTCCCTGTCATAGGTCAAACCCAAGCCCATCTTTTTGTCCCAGAAGCCCATAGTGGGTCTGTCAGTGTAGACAGACTGAAGACTAGTGCTTCCAGCTCTCCACACTGTCCTCTCCACTCTTTGCACAAGCCCAGGAGTCTCCGCAGAGACTCCTTCCTGGACCACCACTGGAAGCAGAAGGAAAAGGCCATCTAAGGTATTATTAGTATGGTTGTTTCTCTTCAACCTCTTAAGAGCTCAAAAATGGATATTTGTTGTTTTTATGAACCTTGGAAAATATCTTAGGTTTAATTAACTCTGCTGCTGTTTGACCCCAGTTGTTGGGAAAGGCCCCATTCATGGTTGTAAAGCTGGCTCTTCCCAGGTGGGCAAAAGAATACTGCCTGTGCCTTGCAAGCTGATTTTACAGGATCTTTAGCAGTGAAACAAAATGATTGTCCACTTGGGGTGAGCAAGGGTTCCGGCTCTAGGGGGAACCAGAGCACCATGGCTGCTTTCAGAGCTCCAAACCTGGAAAAGTATTATTTCAGGTGTACACATGCTCTCTCCCTCCCTCCTTCCCTCCCTCCTTCCCTCCCTCCCTCTCTCCTCTCTCTCTCTCTCTCTCTCTCTCTCTCTCTCTCTCTCTCTCTCACACACACACACACACACACACACACACACACAGAGCCCTTTTTGGGCTCTGAGCTGGGGGCCAACTGATGTTGATGAGAAAGAACTAGCCAGGATTCTGTAAATTTGGTTTCAAATCTACTCAGAAATTTCCCAAGGAGAAAGTAAGGGCTACTACTGGCTACAAATGAGAAAGTACCTTCTATCTTTAAGACTGGATCTCATGCAGCCCTGGCCAGCCTTGAACTCACTGTACAGCCGAGGGTGACCTTGAGCTCCCCATCATCCAGCTTTCAATTCTCAGGCACTAGGATTGCATATGTGCACCGCCATGATGGTTTCTCGGGGTTCTGAAGATTAAACAACATCCCCAGCCCTCCCCACACCCTCTACCTTCTGGGGCTTATTTGAGACAGTCCCAGCCCAAGCTGGCCTCCAAATGGA